CGTCCAGATTTTTGGAAAAAAAATCAAAATTATAAAACAACATTTTGAAATTTAATTTTTAATCTGCTAACCAGAATGCTTTGAAATGTTGCAGATGTTTTAAGGCTATAAAGAGCATCATAAATCTTTAGTCAAAAAATATTTGCTTATCCCCTCCAAAAACTTGATGACGTCAGCTCAAAAGTTTGTGGAATAAATCATATCTAAAATGTACAAAATATAATGAGTCTGTACTTGTGATCTATCACTCCATTCATATTTTTTGGATTTGCATATACAGGGTGACTCAAAAAAATTAATGAATGCATAAATATATTTTATTGATTTAATCAGGAACTACAAAACCGAATGCTCTGAAATCTTGCAGATGTTTTAAGGTCATAAAGAGCATAATAAATGTTTAGTCAAAATATATTTGCTTATCCCCTCCAAAAACTTGATGACGTCAGCTCGAAAGTTTGCCGAATAAATCATATCTAAAATGTACAAAATATGATGAGCCTGTACTTGTCATTTATCACTCCATTCATATTTTTTGGATTTGCATATACAGAGTGACTCAAAAAAATTAATGAATGCGTAAATATATTTTATTGATTTAATCAGGAACTACAAAACGGAATGCTCTGACATCTTGCAGATGTTTTAAGGTTATAAAGGGCATAATAAATGTTTAGTCAAAATATATTTGCTTATCCCCTCCAAAAACTTGATGACGTGAGCTCGAAAATTTGCCGAATAAATCATATCTAAAATGTACAAAATATGATCAGTCTGTACTTGTGATCTATCACTCCATTCATATTTTTTGGATTTGCATATACAGGGTGATTCAAGAAAATAAATGAAAGCGTAAATTTATTTTACTGATTTACTCAGGAACTACAAAACCGAATGCTTCGAAATCTTGAAGATATTTTAAAATTATCATAAGCATGGTAAATTTTTGATCAAAACGTATTTGGTCGTCCCCCCTAAAAAATTTATGACGTCACCACAAAATTTTGCTGAAAAAATCCTATCTAAAATGTACAGAATATGGTGAGTCTCTTCTTGTGATTTATCATTCCATTCAAATTTTTTCGATTTGCATATACAGGGTGACTCAAAAAAATTAATGAATGCGTAAATTTATTTTATTGATTTAATCAGGAACTACAAAACCGAATGCTTTGAAATCTTGCAGATGTTTTAAGGTTATAAAGAGCATAATAAATTTTTAGTCAAAATATATTTGGTTATCTTCTACAAAAAACTGATGACGTCAGCTCAAAAGTTTGCCGAATAAATCGTATCTAAAATGTACAAAATATGATGAGTTTGTACTTGTGATTTATCATTCCATTCATATTTTTTAGATTTTCTTAAGAGGTGGTTCAAAAAAATTAATGAAGTCAATCTATTTTATTGATTAAATTAAAGGCAACACTTATTATTAGTATTACATCCCAACCAACCCAATTTGGTAGACACAAAATTTGTTAAAGGAAAAACTCGGTTGAAACATAAGGGTAGCACGCTTATTTACATCGACTTTAACATTACAGACCTGCATTTGTTTTATGCGCTCACTTGGTTCCGCGAATGTGAAATAGACATGTTTATAATCAACCAATTGTGAATTTCACCGTCAAGAATTAAAATAAAACCCAATGTTTTATATAATAAGCGGAAGTCGAAGCAATAAAACCGATGGTCGTTTTGTTTACAGTTTCTCTGTTTGACTCTCACGTATGGTGTTACGCCTGTCATCTTAAATTAAGAATGTTTATACATCCACGATTTTCAGTTGCCTCTGATACGTATACGTGAGTAAATTGTTTCGTTATTTTATTGATTATTACAAATCAATATTCAAAACGACCCAACTCATTTTCCCGAAAATTTGAGAATATAATAATTTTATTCTTAGGGCCGGTTGCATAAACGCAAATCAAATTTAATCTCTGATTAACTCCATAGTAACGATTGTTATTATCATAGTTACAATTGTTCTTAATCAGAGATTAAATTTGATTTGCGTTTATGCAACCGGCCCTTAGTATTACACTGCATCTATCCCAACTGATATACGTGTCCTTGCAAAAATGTTGATGACGTCATCGCAATTTTTTTTAAATTCCCACTACAAAAATGTAATGAGAAAAAAAACGCAATAGGCATGCAGTCGTCAAGTTTCCGACAGCGAGGGAAGTACTGTCTAGACTCTTTAGACCAATTTTTCTATATTTAAATTTTCGATTTTTCGATTTTGACCTATTTCGGTTTCTCAATTTTTCGATTTTTCGACTTCTCGATTTTTCGACTCCTCGATTTTTTTGTCTTTTGATTTTTCGATTTCTCGATGTCTCAATGTTTGAATTTTACAATGTTTCGATTTTTCGATTTGTTGGTTTTTTGATTTTTTGCTTTTCGGTTTCTCGATTTTTCGATGTTTCGATTTTTGATTTATCCAATTTTTCAATTTTCTAATTTTTTAAATTCTCGACTTCTCGATTGTTTGATTTTTCAGTTTTTCGATTTTTTAATTTTAGATTTTCGAATTTTTATTTTTTTGATTTTTTAATGTTTGGATTTCTCCATTTTTCAGTTTTAAGATATTTTAACTTTTCAATGTTTTAAATTTTAGATTTTTCGATTTTTCAGTTCTTCAATATTTTTTTATTTTTCAAATTTTGACGTTTCTGAATTTTTAGTTTTCGGATTTCTCAGTTAATCTATTTTATTAGATTCCCATTTATCTACTTCCTAAAGTTTCGATTTTTCAGTTTTTCAGTTCTTCAATTTTTCGATTATTCAGGTTTTTGATTTTCCATTTTTTAGATTTTTTAAGTTTGCGATTTTTCGACTCTGCTTTTTTGACTTTTCTGTTTCTCAATTTTTTAATTTCCTAATTTTTTGATATTTCGTTCAATTTTGTGATTTTTCGGTTTTTCGATTTCTCAATTTTAACTTTTCAATTTTTAAATTATTAATTTTTTTCGCTTTCTCGAGTTTCCAGTTCTATAATTTAATTCTTCAAATTTTCGAATTTTTTAATATTTTGAGATCTCAATTTATTGAGATTCGGATTTTTTGATGTTTTGATTATTCAATCTCTCGCTTTATCAATTTTTCTATATTTAAGTTTCCGATTTTTCGATTTTGGCCTATTTCGGTTTTTCAATTTTCTAATTTTTTAAATTCTCGACTTCTCGATTGTTTGATTTTTCAGTGTTTCGACTTTTAAATTTTAGATTTTCGAATTTTTATTTTTTTGATTTTTTAATGTTTGGATTTCTCCATTTTTCAGTTTTAAGATATTTTAACTTTTCAATGTTTTAAATTTTAGATTTTTCGATTTTTCAGTTCTTCAATATTTTTTTATTTTTCAAATTTTGACGTTTCTGAATTTTTAGTTTTCAGATTTCTCAATTAATCTATTTTTTTAGATTCCCATTTATCTACTTCCTAAAGTTTCGATTTTTCAGTTTTTCAGTTCTTCAATTTTTCGATTATTCAGGTTTTTGATTTTCCATTTTTTAGATTTTTTAAGTTTGCGATTTTTCGACTCTGCTTTTTTGACTTTTCTGTTTCTCAATTTTTTAATTTCCTAATTTTTTGATATTTCGTTCAATTTTGTGATTTTTCGGTTTTTCGATTTCTCAATTTTAACTTTTCAATTTTTAAATTATTAATTTTTTTCGCTTTCTCGAGTTTCCAGTTCTATAATTTAATTCTTCAAATTTTCGAATTTTTTAATATTTTGAGATCTCAATTTATTGAGATTCGGATTTTTTGATGTTTTGATTATTCAATCTCTCGCTTTATCAATTTTTCTATATTTAAGTTTCCGATTTTTCGATTTTGGCCTATTTCGGTTTTTCAATTTTCTAATTTTTTAAATTCTCGACTTCTCGATTGTTTGATTTTTCAGTTTTTCGACTTTTAAATTTTAGATTTTCGAATTTTTATTTTTTTGATTTTTTAATGTTTGGATTTCTCCATTTTTCAGTTTTAAGATATTTTAACTTTTCAATGTTTTAAATTTTAGATTTTTCGATTTTTCAGTTCTTCAATATTTTTTTATTTTTCAAATTTTGACGTTTCTGAATTTTTAGTTTTCAGATTTCTCAATTAATCTATTTTTTTAGATTCCCATTTATCCACTTCCTAAAGTTTCGATTTTTCAGTTTTTCAGTTCTTCAATTTTTCGATTATTCAGGTTTTTGATTTTTCAATTTTTAGATTTTTTAAGTTTGCGATTTTTCGACTCTACTTTTTTGACTTTTCTGTTTCTCAATTTTTTAATTTCCTAATTTTTTGATATTTCGTTCAATTTTGTGATTTTTCGGTTTTTCGATTTCTCAATTTTAACTTTTCAATTTTTAAATTATTAATTTTTTTCGATTTTTTGAGTTTTCAGTTCTTCTATATTTCAATGTTTCAATTTTCGGAATTTTTAAATTTTCGATTGTCCATTTTTTTTTTAATTTTAGATTTTCCAATTTTTATTTTTTTGATTTTTTTGTTTCGATTTCTCGATTTTACAATTTTCCCATATTTGATATTTGATATTTTCCAGTAAAACTATTTTAGGCATTTTATTTTTAAATAATATCGCAATGATCTGTGAATCTGTCACAATGACAAATTATCTATGCTGACAAAATTAAAACATTTGTTTGCTTGATTAAAAAATTGGGTCTAATAATTCTGATCTAATAAATGAAGTAGAAAAGTGGCAACCCAGCTCAAAGCAAATGTCAATCAGACTACTGACAGACAAAAACTAAATCATCAAATCAGTTTATCCAACTTAAAGAAAAAATATCAAAGCCTACTTTACTATATAAAGATCATGAATGGAAATCTGACTGTAACTGTCAAACTGAACAAGGTCATGGCCTACTCTTTATTTTCATTTTCTCGTCTTCTTTTGCTATTTCTTTTACATTTGTGAAGTTACTGCTGGCCTTTGTGTCAGATTTGCGATGTCACACAAATAAAACCAATACAACACCTGTTAAAAGGGTTTATTTAACGTAATATAAAGAAATGTACACAACAGGAGACATCATCACAATAAACAAATGAGAATGTGTTGAAGAAATTCATAAGGCACAAATTTCCACGTTAAAATGAATTATATTATCCGTATGTATATGTATATCATCCATACATATACATATGATATATGTTAAACACTGACGATTAATACAATTACGTAAAAAGTAGGAAACGACCACTTAACAGCGCTCAAATACATAAGTACGCGACTCAAATAATCAAATCTTCTTAAAAATAAAATAAATTAGTACTAGCGCCTCTACCTTGAAGGGATTGTCACAGAAAAACGCAGCGTTAAGCGTCAAATGTGGAAGAAAAGCGGCTCACCCTACATACTTGTATACAAAATACTCTTTCATTAAAAAAATATACACTAACCTACGTAATTTGTACGCGGTAAACAGTCGCATGCAAACAAAATGGCAAACAGCATAATTAGAAAAACCGTAAAAATTTATTGATCCAAGAAGTAGGTTAAAAAACTATGAACTAGAAGCTACACTAACGTTACTAACGCTAGTCGTCCTACTACTCGGTCGCAAGTCGACGTCCTTCTTGAAGACGGCGTACCCGTGACTGACCAATTCTTGAGCAATATCCACGTCTTGTTCGTTGTTGACGTCGAACAAGTCCACCCCGGGCATGGGCGACCCCTCCCTCTTAGCCCGCGTCCGCTCCCGCACGCAGTACCCGTTGATCTTGGCCGACAGCTTCTTCCACTGCGCGACGTGGGTCCACTCCTCGAACTTGTCGACGGCATCTACAGACCACGACTCGCCGACGGGGTCTAGACGAATTATCATCAGTATCGTTTATCGCACACCGACGAAATACTCACCGATTCGGGCCAGAAAGCACTCGATGGCCTGGAAATGCAGCCGAAGGAAGTCTGTGCGAAGCTCGTAAAACTCCTCGACCGGCACCAGGTCGGTGTCGCCGTAGTCCACGTAGTAGAGTTCCGCCTGCGGTGGGTTCTCGTCGGTGATGCTGAGGACTTCGGCGCGGTACCATTTACCGTCGTACTGGAAAATGGCTGCGACGAGGTCGCCTTTGTTCACCTTTTCGACGACGTGGGAGTCGCGGTTTTCTTGTTTGCGGTAGTATTCGGTCATTTCTTCGACCAAGACGTCGAGTTCGGCGGCCTTGGGGCCGACGATTTGGAGCCAGAAGCGGGATGGGTCCACCATTGCGGAGACGTAGACCTCGAATTGGGCATCAGGTTGGCCTGGAAAGAAACATCACGTAAGCGGTGAAATTGGTGACGTCACGAGTCTGGTGGAAGGCAGCAGCGGAGCGCCAATTGAGAACTAACTTAATGTACGATATTTTAGTGTCACTATCACCTGGAAATTGCTTGTTAGATAATAATAGATCCATTAGATCATAATTGGCGCAAAACTACGTATCTACAACTTGACACAATTTCTAAATCAATTGAACCCATCTTGAATACTTTTTTGGAAAAATTTTGAAAATTGTACATATTTCACGGTTAATTGAACAGGCGATTGGCGGCGATTTCGAATTCATTATTAACGGAAAATTATCTACAATTTGACACTAATTTTCAATCGATCTAAACCATTTCAACCACTTTTTTTTTAATTTTGAAAATTATAGACTCACTTCCAACGTTTATTTGACTAGATGTGGTGACGAAACTTTCGGATTCTTAATTAGCAGAAGATTATCTACAATTTGACACCAATTTTCAGTCGATCGAAACCATTTTAACCACTTTTTTGGAAAAATTTTGAAAATTTTAGACTCACTTCACGTTTATTTGATAATACATATATCCAATACATATTATGACGATTTCAGATTCATATTCGGTGGAAAAGTATTTAAAACGTGACACCAATTCTTAGTCGATTGAACCCATTTTAACCTTTTTTATCGAAAAATTTTGAAAACTTTAAACTCATTTTTCACCTTTATTTGGCTTTATGCGGTAACGGAGATTTTGGGTTCTTAATTGGCAGAAGATAATCTAAAATTTGACACCAACTTTCAGTGGATCGAAACCATTTTCATCATTTTTTAGAGAAATTTTGAAAATTTTAAACGCATTTTTCATGCTTACTTGAATGAATGCAGTGACGGCGTTTTCGGATTTTCAATTAGCGGAAGTTTATCTACAATTTGACAGCAATTGTCAGTCGATTGAACACATTTTAATAATTTTTTTGGAAAAATTTTGAAAATTCTTGACGCACATTTCATGTTTATTTGAATGAATGCGGTTGCGGCGTTTTCGGATTCTTCATTAGCGGAAGATTATCTACAATTAAACACCAATTGTCAGTCCATTGAACCGGTTTTGACAACTTTTTTTGGAAAATTTTTGAAAATTTTAAGCACCTTTATTGAAACAGATACGATGACGGAGATTTCGGATTTGTAATTGGCAAAAGATTATCTACAATTTGAGATCAATTTCCGGGCGATGGAACACATTTTCACCATTTTTTTGAAAACATTTTGAAAATTTTAGACTCATTTTCCATATTTATTTAAACAGATGCGGCGACAGAAATTTCGGGTTCTTGGTTAGCAGAAGTTTATCTACAATTTGACACCAATTTTCACTCGATCGAAACCATTCGAATCATTTTTTTGGAACAATTTTGAAAATTTTAGACGCGCTTTTCATGTTTATTTGAATGAATGGGGTGACGGCGTTTTCGGATTCTTCATTAGCGGAAGATTACCTACAATTAAACACTAATTGTCAGTCGATTGAACCGATTTTGACCACTTTTTTTGGAAAAGTTTTGAAGATTTTAAGCTCACTTTTCACTTTTATTTAAACAGATACGATGACGGAGATTTCGGATTTGTAACTGGCGAAAGATTATCAACAATTTGAGATCAATTTCCGGGCGATCGAACACATTTTCACCATTTTTTTGAAAAAATTTTGAAAATTTTAGACTCATTTTCCACGTTTATTTAAATAGATGCGGCGACGGAAATTTAGGGTTCTTGGTTAGCAGAAGATTATCTACAATTTGACACCAATTTTCACACGATCGAAACCATTCTAATCATTTTTTTGGAAAAATTTTGAAAATTTTAGACACATTTTTCATGTATATTTGAATGGATGCAGTGACGGCGTTTTCGGATTCTTCATTTATCTTATCTACAATTAAACACCAATTGTCAGTTCTTTGAACCGATTTTGGTCACTTTTTTGGTAAAATTTTGAAAATTTTAAGCTCACTTTTCACCTTATTTAAACAGACACGATGACGGAGATTTCGGATTTGTAATTGGCAAAAGATTATCAACATTTTGACATCAATTTTTGGGCGATGGAACACATTTTCACCGTTTTCTTGAAAAAATTTTGAAAATTTTAGACTCATTTTCCACGTTTATTTAAACAGATGCGGCGACGGAAATTTCGGGTTCTTGGTTAGCAGAAGATTATCTAGAATTTGACACCAATTTTCCCTCGATCTAAACCATTCTAATTATTTTTTTGGGAAAATTTTGAAAATTTAGACACATTTTTAATGTATATTTGAATGGATGCAATGACGGCGTTTTCGAATTCTTAATTAGCAGAAGAGTATCTACAATTTGACAATTGTCAGTCGATTGAACCTACTTTAACAATTTTTTTGGAAAAATTTTGAACATTTTTTACTCACTTTTCACGTTTATTTAACCATATGCGATGACGGAGATTTCGGATTTGTAATTGGTAAAAGATCATCTACAATTCGACATCAATTTTCCGGCGATGGAACCCATTTTCAATTTTTTTTTTAATATGTATTTTAAATATGTTACTCATTTTTTCACATTTATTTGAATAGATATCGTGACGGTGATTTTGATTCGTAACAGCCAGCAAATTATGTACAATTTGACACCAATTTTCAAGCGATTGAACCCATTTTAACGTTTTTTCTTCGAAAAATTTTGAAAATTTCAAATTTATTTTTCACGTTTATTTGAATAGATTTCGCGATTGAAACCAATTTAACTATTTTTTTTTTAAATTGGAAAATCTTTACTGACTTCACATTTATTTGAACAGATGCCGTGACGCCGACTTCGAATTCATTATTAACGAAAGATTATCTACAATTTGACATTAATTTTCAATCGATCGAAACCATTTTAAGCATTTTTTTGAAAAAATTTTCAAAATTTTAGACCCACTTTTCTTGTTTATTTGAATATTTGCGATGACGGCGATTTCAAGTTCTTAAATAGCAAAAAATTATCAACAATTTGACACCAATGTTAAGTCGATCGAAACCATTTTAACCATATTTTTGTAAAAATTTTGAAAATTTTAAGACGCATTTTTCATGTTTATTTGAATTAATACAGTGACGGTGTTTTCGGATTCAAAATTGGCAGAAGATTATATACAACTTGGCAACAATTCTCAATCGGTTGAAGCTATTTTAAACCTTTTTTTTTTTCGAAAAATTTTGAAAATTTTAAACTCATTTTTCACATTTATTTGAACAGATGTTGTGACGGCGATTTCCTATTCGTTATTAGCGGTAGATTATCTACAATTATTTGATACCAATTCTCAGCAAATGAACACATTTTAATAATTCTTTTGTCGAAAAATGTTGAAAATTTTAAACTCACTTTTCACGTTTATTTGAACAGATGTTGTGACGGCGATTTCCGATTCGTTATTAGCGGTAGATTATCTACAATTTAATACCAATTGTCAGTCCATTGAACCGATTTTAACCACTTTTTTGGAAAATTTTGAAAATTTTGGGGTCTCTTTTCACGTTCATTTAAACAGATGCGATGACAGAGCTTTTGCAATTGTAATTAGCAAAACATCATCTACAATTTGACATGAATTTTCAGGCGATGGAACCCATTTTTAATATTTTTTTGAAAATATTTTAAAAAGTTAAGACTCATTTTTTCACATTTATTTGAATAGATATCGTGACGGTGATTTCGATTCGTAACAGCGAAAAGATTATGTACAATTTGACACCAATTCTCATCCGATTGAAACCAAATTAACCATTTTTTTTTTTTCAAAAAAGTTTGAAAAGCTTATACTGACTTCACATTTATTTGAACAGATGCCGTGACGCCGACTTCGAATTCATTATTAACGAAAGATTATCTACAATTTGACATTCATTTTCAATCGATCGAAACCATTTTAAGCATTTTTTTGAAAAAATTTTGAAAATTTTAGACCCACTTTTCTTGTTTATTTGAATATTTGCGATGACGGAGATTTCAAGTTCTTAGATAGCAGAAAATTATCAACAATTTGACACCAATGTTAAGTCGATCGAAATTATTTTAACCATATTTTTGGAAAAATTTTGAAAATTTTAATACGCATTTTTCATGTTTATTTGAATTAATACAGTGACGGTGTTTTCGGATTCTAAATTGGCAGAAGATTATATACAACTTGGCACCAATTCTCAATCGGTTGAAGCCATTCTAAACCTTTTTTTTTTTTCGAAAATTTTTGAAAATTGTAAACTCATTTTTCACATTTATTTAAATAGATGTTGTGACGTCGATTTCGGATTCGTTATTAGCGGTAGATTATCTACAATTTGACACCAATTTTCACTCGATCGAAACCATTCTAATCATTTTTTTGACAAAATTTTGAAAATTTAGACACATTTTTATTGTATATTTGAATGGATGCAATGACAGCGTTTTCGGATTCTTCATTAGCGGAAGATTATCTACAATTAAACACCAATTGTCAGTCCATTGAACCGATTTTGACCACTTTTTTGGAAAAATTTTGAAAATTTTAAGCTCACTTTTCACGTTTATTTAAACAGATACGATGGCGTAGATTGCGGATTTGTAATTGGCAAAAGATTATCTACAATTTGACATCAATTTTCGGGCGATGGCACACATATTCACCATTTTTTTGAAAAAATTTTGAAAATTTTAGACTCATTTTCCATCTTTGTTTAAATAGATGCGGCGACGGAAATTTCGGGTTCTTGGTTAGCAGAAGATTATCTACAATTTGACACCAATTTTCACTCGATCGAAACCATTCTAATAATTTTTTTGGAAAAATTTTGAAAATTTTACACTAATTTTTCACGCTTATTTAACAAGATATCGTGACGGTGATTTCGATTCGTAATTGCCAGTAGATTATATACAATTTGACATCAATTTTCGGGCGATGGAACCCATTTTCACAATTTTTTTTTAATTTTGAAAATTTTAGACTCACTTTCCACGTTTATTTACGGTGACCGTAATTTCAGGTTCTTAATTAGCAGCAGATTATCTACAATTTGGCACCAATTTTCAGTCGATCGAAACCATTTTAATCTTTTTTTTTGGAAAATTTTTGAAAATTTTACACGAATTTTTCATGTTTATTTGAATAATGGATGCAATGAGGGCGTTTTCGAATTCTTAATTGGCGGAAGAGTATCTATATTTGACAACAATTGTCAGTCGATTGAACCCACTTTAACAAAGTTTGAAAATTTTATACTGACTTCACATTTATTTGAACAGATCCCGTGACGGCGACTTCGAATTCATTGTTAACGGAAGATTATCTATAATTTGATACAAATTCCCAGTCGATTGAACTCATTTCAACTAATTTTTTGGAAAAATTTAGGAAATTTTAGGCTCACTTTTCACCTTTATTTGAATATACGCGGTAACGGAGATTTTGGGTTCATAATTGCCAGAAGATAATCTACAATTTGACACCAATTTTCAGTGGATTGAAACCATTTTCATCATTTTTCTGGAAAAATTTTAAAAATTTTAGACGCATTTTTCTTGTTTATTTGAATAGGCGCAGTGTCGGCGTTTTCGGATTCTCAATTAGCGGAAGATTATCTACAATTTGACACAATTGTCAGTCGACTGAACACATTAAAACCATTTTTTTGGAAAATTTTGAAAATTGTTGGCTCACTTTTTAGGTTTATTTAAAGAGATGCTATGAGGGAGATGTCGGATTTGTAATTAGCAAAAGATTATCTACAATTTAACATGAATTTTCAAACGATTGGAACCCTTTTCCACCAAATTTTTTTTTTTATTATAAAAATCTTAGACCCACTTTTCACGTTTATTTAAATAGCTGCGGTGACGGCGAAATCGGATTCGTAATTAGGAGAAGATTATCTTCAATTTGACACCAATTCCCAGTCGATTGAGCCCATTTTAACCATTTTCTTGTAAAATTTTGAAAATTTTAGATTCAGCTTTTGCATTTCTTTGAATGGATGCGGTGACGGAGATTTCGGATTCTTAATTAGCGAAAGACTATCTACAATTTGATATCAATTCTCGGTTGATCGAATCCATTTCAACCATTTTTTTGAAAAAAAATTGAAAATTTACATTGACTTCTTACGTTTATTTGAATATTTGCAGTGACGGAGATTTCAAGTTCTTGAATAGCAGAAAATTATCAACAATTTGACACCAATTTTCAGTTGATTCAATCCATCTTCAACATTTTTTTGGAAAAATTTTGAAAATTGTAAACTCATTTTTCACGTTTATTTGAACAAATGTCATGGCGGAGTTTGCGGATTCCTCATTGGCAGAAGATTATGTACAACTTGACACCAATTCTCAGTCGATTGAAGCCGTTTTAACCTTTTTTTTTTCGAAAAATTTTGAAAATTTTAAACTCACTTTTCACATTTGTTTGAACAGATCTCTTGAGGGCGATTTCGAATTCGTAATTAGGTAGATTATCTACAATTTGGTAACAATTCTCAGCAAATTAACCCATTTTAATCTTTTTTTTTTTCGAAAAATTTTGAAAATGTTAAACTCACTTTTTCACGTTTATCTGAACAGATGTCGTGACGCTGATTTCAGATTCGCCATTGCTAAAAAAATATTAACATCTTAACACAATTCTCAATTTTTTTTTTTTTGAAAAATTTTGTAAATTGTAAACTCAGTTCACGTTTATTTCAGGATAATAATAGATCAATAGATGTGAAGGCGATTTCAGATTCACAATTGATGGAAAATTATCTACAGCTTGACACCGATTTTCAGTTGATTTAAGCCATTTTAACCTTTTTTTTTTTCGGAAAATTTTGAAAATTTTAAACTCACTTTTCACATTTGTTTGAACAGATCTCTTGAGGGCGATTTCGAATTCGTTATTAGGTAGATTATTATCAACAAGTTGGTATCAATTCTCAGCAAATTACCCAAACTTGACACCAATTCACAGTCGATTGAATCCATTTCAATTTTTTTTTTCGAAAAATTTTGGAAATTTGATACTCACTTTGCACATTTATTTCAACAGATGTCGTAATGGCGATTTCGAATTCGTTATTAGCGGTAGATTATCTACAATTTGATACCATTTCTTAGCAATTAAACCCATTTTAATTATTTTTTTGGAAAATTTTGGAAATTTTAAACTCACTTTTTACGTTTTATTTGAACAGGTGATTTTAGATTCGTAATTGGTAGAAAATTATCTACATCTGACGCCAAGTCTCATTTTCTTCAGTTAACTGAACCAATTTCAACCTTTTTTTTTTTGGAAAAAATTTGTAAATTATAAACCCGCTACACGTTAATTTGGTAATAATAATAGATCCAATAGATGTGATGGAGATTTCACTGTACCCATTTTAACCATTTTTTGGAAAATTGTTGAAAATTTCACACTTATTTTTCGCGTATAAAACACCCAACATAGAAATGAAGTCACTACGAAAATAAAAAGGATAAAATGATGACCATTTCCGCTACAATTTATATTTTAGATTAATTAAATAATTGGATCAATACAGATTCATTTCATGTTTTCTTGGCGTTTCAAAAACCATAGAACACAAAAGTGCAATTTTTCTGTTTCCTTCTGTTTAGTTTCAGGCCAGCAATTTCCAAAACTCTAAATTTTCTATTCATCCCCTGTAAAGAAGTGACGACGTCATCTCAAAATGTCACGTAAATAAACTGATTATAGTACAAAAAAAAAACTCTAATAAATCAATACAAAAGGATCACATTCCAGTAAAATGAACGTGTCGGGTGACGTACATGTGCATACAACACTGTAACCACAGCCCGATAATTAATTTACTCAGAAAAATCAATAACAAAACTATTATGTAATCGCCGCTTTTCTTTGTCACGGTTTATTTTTAAACCCAAACACGCAATCTCATTTATTTATTATTTACAATTAGTCTTCAGAACGTAAACCCTGTCTGAATTTTTAACACCACGAAACTAACAATAACTTAAACAAATCTGACGAAAACGCACACCAATGAATCAATTTTGCAATATTTACAATACAATTAACAACTGCAAAAACACCACGCATTCATACAAAACTTTTTCTTAAAAAAAAAAAAAAAACGGGTAAGTAACCGCTCAGTCAAACCTGCGCAAAAAAACAAACACTGACCAAATATTTACATAGGGACTGAAATTCCCGCCAGGTTTATTCACGCTCTTATCCGGTCTGATTCCTTATCAGTAAGACCTCTCCACCTCAATTCCGTCGCCTCCATTATATAATAAAGTGCGCAAACACCGAAAATGCAAGCGAACCGACTTTTCCGCCTAATCGCAAGACTGCGACCCAATGGACAACGGTCATTCGCCAGCGATGTTCTCCCAAAGTCGACAATGAACGACATCCCGAGCCCCCAAGGCAGCTGGCAGGCCAACTACGACAAAAACCAGCAAAAACACAACAGAGACCTCATCCTCGGAATTATATCGCTAACTGCGACTCTGGCGTTCGGACAATACATGGGATTCCACGAGTTTTACGGAGACGTTCCTGCCGAGCCTTTGAAAATCGACACTTACAAGGTGGAGGAATAAGTACTTGTAATTGTTTTTAGTAAATAAAGTATTACCTGGTACCGGAGATATTCTTTCGACTTTGGGGCTCCCGATCGACTTGGGGCTGTCGCCGGATTTCGGAGGCAGTCGCGGCTCGCGTTTGGCCAAAGTAGCTTCGATTTGCTCTTGGGATCGCTGGTATTTTTCAACCACTTTGTCTAACAGAGATTTAGCTACAGAAATCTGCTCCTGGGTGCCTGCAATAACCCTTTTAGTGACAGTCATTGATAGCCCCCACTCACCTTTGATTGTTAGTCGTTTCAAGGGGCTCGACCTGTCGCTGTCCGCCGACACTTTCGCCCCCGACGTGGAGCAAATCTCCGTGATTTTGTCCCTCAACATCTCGATGCACGGCAGCGGTATGAAAATGTCCTCCGACACCACCGGCGGCTGGTTTCTAACGAACTCTAGAATCAAATTCTCGGCGATGTGGCAAGCCTCGATTGTCCCCCTCACAATACAATGAACCCCGAACGCGTCTTGGTAGTCCTGGAAAATGATTTTGGTGTTCGACTGCTCCTCCATTTGCTGGAGGGTCCTGCCACCCGGTCCCAACAGCGGTATCACCATGTCTCTAGGAATGGGGACCCTCAACATTTTGAAGTTCGATGCTTTGTTGATAGTGTCGCTGTAATCGTCATCTTCGTCTTTTTTCAAAAAAAGGTAGAGCAAGTAGCCGGAAATGCCACACACGGACAGCCCCAACACCACGGTGACGCTCTTCGCAATCACCCTGAAACCCCAGCGGTTTTTTGGTCAAAAAAAAAAAATAAAAAGTTGGGTTATAGGTTACATCATTTACACAGCAGATGTCACACTTACTTCATCGCAATTACCGAATAGTCGTGCGTTATAAAATTGCCGTTTCTGGTTTATAAATAAATTCTATTTTTAAAAAGCAGCTAACCTCTTCTCGGACACATTTGATCTCTCAGAAAGTGACAGCGGTTGTGCGCTTGCGCACATCCCGCGGTCGGTAAAAAAGGGATCTGGGTGTCACAAATGTCACAAATTCAAATGTTTTTGAAAAATGATGGTGCCGAAAGTGTAATTTTTTGCCCATTAAGGCCGTCACTCCAGTGTTCCACAGTTTTATCGGTGAGTGGGTTTTTACTAGTTTTAGTTAGTTTAAGCTCGTCGCAAAAAAATAAAATCACAACTACGAAGTATCTCGAAATCTTTTATTTTATTGTACATTTGGTTTAACACAGCTTCACACACGTAGTGGTCGTTTGGGGTTGGTTAAGAGGCACTTAATCGTATTGTTAAAACACACCAAGGTATATACATAACGACTCGACCATAAAATTGTAAACCGAATTTATACAGATAAGTTTATACATAGGTTCCCGTCAATAAAACATTAAATTCCAGTATAAACGAGGTATATTTATATTTAATATCCAGCTATGTCTCATATTCAAATTTTACAAACGACTCCACCATGACCAAAAATAAAATTAATACCTATCCGAACCTCGAAACAATTAAGTACAAATTTAAACAAAAAGGAACAAAACCAGAGTTCATAAAAAAATATAAAATAAACAATATTTCAAAAAGAAAACATAAAAAATGGAAAATATATCGTTTGCAGCTCTATTGCACCACCCGTCTACAATAATAACCCAACTCGCGGCACTTCTGGCACAGGTGCTGCGGATGCACCTTCGATTGATCCGAAACGTCTAGCCCGTCTGGTTTCTCCAGCGGGCGCTGCAAAATTACAATCAAACTTTATTAATTCTAATAAAATTCAAAACTCACTTGTTTGTGCGGATATACGTTGATTTGGCACTTAATACAGTCCTGACCGATGTTGGCCCACGAATTGCCGCTCATCCACTTTCGTTTACATTTAGGGCATTTGAATTCCCCGAAACACCGCTTCCTGCCTTGATATGGAGTTTTTCCTTCACCCTTGGGTCGGGCCTGGAAGAGTCTATTTTTAAATTTTGTTGTCAGTTTGAGCGATCATAGATGCCGCTGTGGGTCAGACGCTGCGGACGGTAACCGCAGCGACTGATCATAAGACGGTTCCTAGCGCAAGCCGTCTTTGTCTTCAGTAGGGTCGTAACTGATCCACTGTAGCGAATGATGAGATCAGGATATGATTACATGATTAATATCCGCTTGTCCGCTGACGGAATCGCAACCGCAGTGGACAATCACTGACGCTACAGATTTGACTGAAGATCTTTTAAAATAAATCAAACAAAATTTTCCATCACACTAATTCATAATAATGATCAGTGACAATGATCAATCACATGGAAAAAAAAACAAAGGCAGAGATTGGATATCTGCATTACCCTAGCTAGAACTTTCGAAACTTCCCACCAGAGGGAAGCTCAATTGCATTTTGTAATTTTAACATGATCCCAAATATTTGTCCTTGTCCATTAATCATATTTAAATCCGTATATTATTTTGACAAAAAATCATGTTGATGGGTTTCGAATCCGAAAAAATTGTCTTCGTCAGTCACTCTGCAATTTGCAATAATTATAATAATAACCGGCGATTTATCTTTCTATTTTTGCAAGGACGTTTGCCAGTAGACTGTTGTGCTTTGGCAATTAGCGTACTTTGAATCGCTATCAAAAACCAATATTTTCTCATAATATCTCAATTTATTTTTAGAAGTCGTAAGCGTTTATAGCTTCTAAAATCTCACGCCCTGAATTGGCGCATTTTCACACGTTTGACATCGGTCAAGTGTCAACGGTCGAGTTTGTAACCGATATAATAAAGCGTTTTGCTGGTGTATCGATTATTATAATGGGATAAGCGTTGGGTTTTCGTGGGTCAGCAGAAATTCTTTGCTTTTATTTCTGATTTAATTCGTTTTAATTAACTGACTAGGTAATCGGGGTCTTAAATATTTTTGCTGCCCACGGTAATACGGAATCTGTCAACGTGTTCCATTTAGAAAGATCATAAATCATTAACTTTTCATCTAAATATTCCGTTTCACAATATTTTGTGGTTTGTAATAGGGTCCATCGGGCGATTGGCTACTTTCATGTTTACTCGATGTTTCGTGACAGCAAGAGTGCGAAAAAGTGGACTTCCGTTTCCGTCTGTCTGTCGTCTGTGTCGATTATTATTAAACAGGCAATCTCCAAAATTACAGAACCGACTGTTGTCAAAAAAAACGTTGACCAAAATTTGGCTAATCACCCCCACCAAGAATTTGTTTCAGTCGAAGCCACTTTATTTTATAAATTAACATACTCTTGTACCTGCGGTTTATGAATCCGCCTCGAGATTTTACTTACCTTGAGTTTTCAAATTTTCACAAAAAAATCCAAATCGTATAATAACCTTTTATACTGTAAGTATTGAAAAATTGAATAACTAAAAAATCGGTGTTAAAAATATACCTATAATTATCCCCACCACATGGAAAACACAAAATATTGCATTACGCACTAATTGAGTTTCCAATTTTACGATTTTGTGAGTTTTTCCATTTTTCAATTTTTGAATTTTTCTGTTATTTCTGTTATCTTTAAATTATTCCATTTTTCGTTTTTTCAGTTTTCAATTTTTTCACCTTTTAAATTTAGCAGTTTTTCGATTTATAATTTTGTGATTTTTCGTTTCCAAATCTTTTGTTAAAATTTTTCAATTTCTCTATTTTGCCACTTTCGTATTTTAAATTTTTTGATTTTCAGTTTTCCGATTTTTAATTGAGTTTTTACCTACAAATTTTCGTTTTTTCAATCTTTCGATTTTTCGATTCCTATGACTAAAACCGAAAAATCGCAAGTCGAAAAACTGAAAAGGTTAAAATTTACAAAAAAATTAATTCCAAAAACTGAAAAATTAAAATATCCAGAAACCGGAAACAATAAAATTTTAGATTTATTTTCAACTTTACGATTGTCAGTTATAATATGGAAATAATAGAAAAATATTTCCATTTTTCGTTTTTTCAGTTTTTCAATTTATAATTTTGTGATTTTTCCTTTCCAAATCTTTTGTTAAAATTTTTCAATTTCTCTATTTTGCTACTTTCGTGTTTTTTAATTTTTCGATTTTTTTTTTAATGTTCGCTTCGTCAATTTTAGAATTTTGCATTTTCGATTTTTCGTTCATATTTTTTATTTTTCGATTTTGCAATTTTCCAATTACTGGATTTTTAATTTTTCAATTTCTCGAGTTTTATTTTTCAATTTTTTGATTCTCAGTTTTTCGATTTCTCAATTCTTCAATTGAGATTTTAGCTACAATTTTTCGTTTTTTCAATTTTTCGATTTTTTTTCATATGACTGTAAAACCGAAAAATCGCAAGTTGAAAAACTGAAAAGGTTAAAATTCAGAAAAAAATTAATTCCAAAAACTGAAAAACTAAAATATCCAGAAACCGAAAATGTAATAAATTTTAGATCTATTTTTCAATTTTACGATTTTGTCAACTATTCCATTTTTGAATTTTTGAATTTTTCAATTATTCCATTTTTTGATTTTTAATTATCCCATTTTTCAATTTTTTGACGTTTTCATTTAGCAGTTTTTCGATTTTCAATTTTGTGATTTTTCGTTACCTAATTTTTCATTTCAAAATGTTTCAATTTCTCCATTTTTCCACTTCCAAATTTTTCATTTTTTTGATTTTTTTGAATTTATTTTTATTTTAGAATATTGCGTTTTCGATTTTTCGTTTTAATTTTTTATTTTTCGATTTTGCAATTTCTGGTTTTTTTATTTTTAAATTTCTCCAATTTTTATTTTTCAATTTTTTGATTCTAAGTTTTTAATTTTTTCAATTTTTCAATTGAGATTTTATCTACAATTTTTCGTTTATTCAATGAAAAGGTTAAAATTTTCAAAAAAATGAATTCCAAAAACATTATAAAATTTTAGATTTATTTTCAATTTTACGATTTTGTCAGTTATTTTATTTTTGAATTTTTCTATTACATATTTCGATTTTTCAATTTTTTGACGTTATAAATTCAGCAGAAAGTTTTTCGATTTATAATTTTGTGATTTTTCGTTTTCCAATTTTTCATTTTAAAATTTTTCTATTACTCTATTTTTCCACTTTCGAATTTTTCGTTTTGTACATTTTTTTAATGTTTGCTTCGTCAATTTTAGAATTTTGCATTTTCGATTTTTCATTTATATCTTTTATTTTTCAATTTTTCGTTTATATTTTTTTATTTTCCGATTTTCCAATTTCTGGATTCTTGATTTTTCAATTTTTCAATTCTCAGTTTTCGATTTTTCAATTGACGTTTTACCTACAATTTTTCGTTGTTTCAATTTTTCGCATTGTCAATTTCTATGACTGTAAAACCAAAAAATCGGAAGTCGAAAAACTGAAAAGGTTAAAATTCAGAAAAATTAATTCCAAAAACTGAAAAATTAAAATATTTAAAAACCGTAAACGTACTAAAATTTTATATTTATTTTTCAATATTGCGTTTTTTTCAGTTCTTCCATTTTTCAATTTTTGAATTTTTCGATTATTTCGATTTTTCAATTATTCCATTTTGCGTTTTTTCAATTCTTAATTGTTTTGACGTTTTAAATTTGGCAGTTGTTCGATTTTTAATTTGTGATTTTTCGTTTCCCAATTTTTCATTTTAAAATTTTTCAATAGCTCTATTTTTCAACTTTCAAATTAACCAATTTTTCGATTTTTTGAGAATTCGCTTCGTCAGTTTTAAAATTTTGCGTTTTCGATTTTTCGTTTATATTTTTTTATTTTTTGATTTTCCAATTTTCCAATTTCTAGATTTTTTGATTTTTCAATTTCTCAAGATTTATTTTAAAATTTTTTGATTCTCAGTTTTTTCGATTTTTCAATTTTTCAATTGATATTTTACCTACACTTTTGGTTTTTTCAATTTTTCGATTTTTCAATTCCTATGACTGTAAAACCGAAAAATCGCAAGTCGAAAACTCAGAAAAATTAATTCCAAGAGCTGAAAAATTAAAATATCTAAAAACCGTAAACGTACCTAATAAAATTTTAGATTTATTTTTCAATTTTACGATTTTGTCAGTTATTCCATTTTTCAATTTTTGAATTTTTCTATTAATTCGATTTTTCAATTATTCCATTTTTGATTTTTCAATTTTTCAATTTTTTGACAATTTAATTAATCGGTTTTTCGATTTTTAATTTTGCGATTTTTCGTTTCCCAATTTTACATTTTAAAATTTTTCAATTGCTCTATTTTTGTGAATTTTTCTGTTTCGACTTTTAAAATGTTCATTTCTTCAATTTTAGAATTTTGCCTTTTCGATATTTCGTTCAGGTTTTTTATTTTTCGATTTTTTAATTTTTCAATTTCTCGAGTTTTATTTTTCAATTTTTTGATTCTCAGTTTTTCGATTTCTCAATTTTTCAATTGAGATTTTACCTGGAATTTTTCGTTTTTTGAACTTTTCGATTTTTCAATTCCTATGACTGTAAAACCGAAAAATCGCATGTCGAAAAACTGAAAAAGTTAAAATTCAGAAAAATTAATTCCAAAAGCTGACAAATTAAAATATCTAAAAACCGTGTAAACGTAATAAAATTTTAAGATTTTTTTTCTATTTTACCATTTTGTCAGTTTATTACATTCTTCAATTTTAGAATTTTTCTATTATTTCGATTTTTCAATCATTCCATTTTTCGTTTTTTCAATTTTTCATTTTTTTGACGTTTTGAATTTAGCAGTTTTTCGATTCTTAATTTGTGATTTTTTATTTCCCAATTTTTCATTTTAAAATTTTTCAATTTCTCTATTTTTCCACTTTCGAATTTTTCAATTTTGCGATTTTTCATTTATATTTTACTTTTCGATTTTTCAATTTTTCAACTGAGATTATACTTATAATTTTTCGATTTTTCAATTCCTATGACTTAAAACCGAAAAATCGCAAGTTGAAAAACTGAAAAGGTTAAAATTCGAAAAGATTAATTCAAA